TTCTTGCTTTTAGTGTTATTGTGAGTTTTTCGATCTTATATGGTGGTGTTCTTGTTGTCTCCCCCTTTCATTGAAGATATGAGGTAGTATTTGTAGGAGATGAAACTGGGATTTTGGGTGGGACTTTGAGTTGAGAAAAATGTATTTTGAAATTTGAACGTTGGTCAAGATAATTCAGACTCGAACGTTGGAATTCTGGATGTGCTTGGCAGTATTCACGTGATTGAGATAAGCAAACGAAAAATGAAGACAAAAATCAAACACGAGAATGGAATGAACAACTTCTGTACAAAGACTGATAAGCTTTTGTTTTGCTGAAAATAGAAGGAAACGTGGGAATGAGCTGTTGTTTGAGAATTTTGAATTAGGGTTTAGGGTGTGAAGGGTATTTTTGGATTATTGATAAATTATATGGGCTGGCTGATTATTTGGGTTAATGGATAGATGGGCTGCTCGTTTGTATAGCCAAATAGGCTGAATTGTTGAAATATTGTGGGCCTTTTCCTTCTTCAAATTAATTCTTTTGAGCTTCTAACCAGTATAAATACATTATGTAAAAATTTTAGTAAGGACGAAACTTGAAATAAAGTAACGACAATCTATTTTAAAAAGACGACGATAAAGTAATAATCGTAAAGTTACTTAAAAATATATAATTTTGGAATAGTGAAAATGATAATAGAAAGATGATAAAATAGTAAAATTTAAAGTAATATAGATAATAACAATAGTGATAAATGGAAAATAACAGGGAATTATAAAGTATTCGACTTATTACCAATTTAGAAGCTTAACGAAATAAATTAGAAGAAAGGAGGGACAAAATTTGTTGTCAACAGCTCCAACCCGACCCATTTCCTTTTCCTCTCACAATAGAAACATCAGCAGCCACACGCGACAGATGCGTTTTCCTCCAAGGCGTGAACGACGACGCTCAACGTTAACAGCAGACCGGCGTGCCTCCAACAGCGTCACTTCTGTCAATGATTCCAACGCCAATTCTAGTCGATTTCAAGCAGCAAATACACGGAAAAGCAACGGAGATAGATGGAAAAGCAGCAGTCAGGCGGTACTCTGCTTTCCCTTGGCTTTTTCTTCAGACGTCCATTTCCAATTTGTACCTGCAGCAGAGCACCAAGCAGCGTCTCAGTCCTTGTAGCCACGAGATTACTCCACGTCGGCACTCAAGGAAGAGAGATCGATCGAGTCCGTCCATCCTCCCCTTTCCTCTTCCAGCAATGGACGAAATTTCAGAAAGGGTGTCTCCCCTTTAATGGAAAGGATTTCAAATTTGAATTTAGGAATGGGCCTTGAACCCGAATTTTCGTACCCTTTTCCCCCATTTTCCGAACCCTAGCTTCCCTTCTATATAATTGCTTTTATTCATTGTAAAAGGGTTTTTTTTTTTTGGAGCTGGGAAAATTTGGTGTTAGGAAAATAGTTTAGAGAAATTTGAGTCCATTTAAGAAAAAATACATACAAATACATAGGTTCGGAGGAATTGCATCTTGGTGGAAAAAGATCGTTTCTACTCAGCTCGCCTGTCCTAGTTCCTGCTCGAAACAAGGTAATGCTCCTCCCCGATAACACTCTCTTTCTCCTTTCCACTTTGATTTGTGATGTTGAAGAACCTCTATTCTGGGGTTGGTTTGTTACTGTGCATCTTTGAGTTTGTAGTGCTTATGTGACACATATGTTTAGATGATTCCATGAGTTAGTTAGTGTCAACTTAAGTCTTTTGTCGTTCTGTAGCTAAAGTTGGCGTTTCTCCGCCACTCTATTCAAATTTGTTTCATGGCTTTTTCTTTTCGAATCTACCGTTGGATATGGTCATAAATCTGTGATAAGCTTTAATTTTTGACGTCACATTCCTCATTCTTCCTTCTCGAGTCGGATGAATGAATCAATATGTCAAGATTCGAGTTATTGTTCGTTTTAAGTCCTTTAGTTGTGTGTTCTGATCATATTCATTGGCATATATGCTTTGCTGATTTGAAATTCGTACTCTCATGTGTCTCTTTGGAATTTGATCTGGATGTTGCCTTATATGCGTGTGAGAGTTTGGTGAATATAGCTCGTAGGTGACCGATTGGTCAAGTTTCATATTTATCTGAGTTGAAGTTTTTCCATGTAATAGTGGTGTCCTGTTCCCGTATGTATTTACTAAGCACGAGTTATTTTTCTTTTCATTTCTTTGGATAGCTTATGTTGACCGAATTTTTATCTCAGAGGGATTATGACCTTAAGGTTTGAGTTTTAATTCATCCTCGTTCATATTTAAACATATGTCTCGATGTAAAACTTGTATTGAAACCTACTGTATTGTTCTATTATTTATGCCTGTCCTCTTTCTTCACTCGAAATTCTGAAAAATGCCAAGAATCCATCTCTTATTCATGTCTAAAATTTCTGCAAACATTAGTTTATTTTGTTAACCTCATACACTAATTTGTTCATATCCAAAATACTTAAGTCTATCCCCTTAATACATATGCATGTTGCTGCCTTTTCTTAGTGGTATGAAACGATGATTTTGTATTTTGTCATTTTGTGGACTGCTATATGTTAGGAGGGAAACTTATTTTTGAAGGTGGTGGTCTACTTTACTGTAAACTAGTATTAGTCTTACTCTTTGCTTCTTGAATTTAGTTCTTTCGGCATCCGTATATGATATTCCATATTGCATTTTAGACTTAATAATATCGACTTCAATAGTCTCCCCCATTTTAATTGATAATTGCCTCCTTGTCATTATCTTTGCCTAGGTGATTATGTCACAAGTCACTCCATTTGACCACTTTTAGTTTAATTGTTTATTTATTATCATCTTTTGTGTTTGATCTTTTCACGTGAGGTTGGTTCAATTCCAAGTAAAGGTTCTCCTTAAGTGTCACATGCATTCTTTAGCTCATTTTATATAATATTGGCAGTGTGAACTATTCACATATGTATACTGCTTCTTCTTTTTTACGTGTTTTGACTTTATCGTATAAGTTTGAGTATGCTTCCTTTCTAATTTCCATCTTGTTTTGTTCTTTTCTATGTATGAACCGGCTTCTCCCGAGTCTATTTTTGACTCCACCCCTACATATCCGAGTTGATTTCCCATCGAGTCAACCCCCTTTCGAGCTAAAGAATTGACAAACAGGTCCCGAAGTTGAAAGAAGCAACAAATCGAGAAATTGAAAATTTGGGCCAAAGGCCCATTCTTAATTCAAAAAATTGTATTTTGGGCCTAAGCCCACTTATTAGCTATTTTATGTTAGTTTAGGACAGGTACAAAGGACTCAAATGGGCCGAAGGCCCAAAATGAAAATGGGCCCAAATACTGGCCCAGGCGGACAGGCAAACCAGATTTGGGCCCAAATCTCTCTCCTTCTTTATTTTATTATGTTCCCTTACTTGCTAATATTTGCCATTAGTCTTAAGGTTAACCATTCAAATCCTCGAGAGACGTTCATTTTGATTTAACAATTTAACTAAATCGGTCATCTCTTAACAAAACTTAAAGAATAAGTTTACAAAATATTTCGCTTAGATAATATTTCATAATTCTATTTTTCTCCCTTTAAATGGTCCTAACTAACAAAATAGTTCAATTTTGAAAGTCAAGCTAAGTTAAAATTATTTTAGCCAAATAAATTAGTTGTTGGATAACCGCATTAGCGGATATTCTAAGTTCTTTAAAAACTTTCCTAGAATATTAATAGGAACCTCGAACCCCCTTAATAGTTTTCAATAGATTTACTGTTTTAGACTTTTGAAAACAATAGTTTTCTTGATTTTTTCTTAAAAATTAAGTGGCGACTCTAAACCAGTCAAAATATATTTTCCTTATAAAACAGGCGTGACAGAATCCTCTGAAGCCACTGATTGTTAAAGATTTCAGATTGGGGTGTGGTTTGAGGGCTTCAAGCACTTTAACTTCTTCTGATTCATATCTATGCGTTCCATTCCAAATCATGCTTAATGAATGCAGATTCATTTTTGTAGATAAGTTGGCTTCTTTTGCCTCCGTTTCCCTCTTCACTCTCTCAAGATCTGTGATTGAAATTGCACCACGGAGGTTTAAATTTCTTAGTTCACCAAGTTGATAACCTTTCCTCTAGCCCACTACAAAGCAATCTAGAGTCTTAAGGCATGCCAAAGATCCTATCCTTGGTGGTGTACAAGTCAATTTATTGCAACCATCAAGTAAAAGATTTCGGAGACTACCAAGTTTACATGTTTCTTTTGGCAAACAAGAAAGAGAGTAGCAATTATGTAGATCAAGAGTCTGCAGATTCTGAAGCTTGCATAACTTCTTTGGAAGACTACAAATATGAAAATTGTCAGACAAGTCCAGGTATCTTAAATGTCCTAGATCTCCAATGGAAGACGGTAACGACTCAAAGTGTAATTTACTTAGATTAAGCACCCTCAACGAGACAAACTTTTGCAAGAGATGAAGAGGTTTAAAAGGCACCAATTCAGCAAAACCAATAGGCATTCTATGTGAGTAAAATCCTTTAATTAATTCACGGATATTGCTGCTTGATGTGCTTGCCGAAAACTGAGATGTAGCCAAATCATGGATGAGATCATGCATCTTGAAATAAGTATTACCATATCTAACTTCAATCTCTTGGAAAAAAGACCTCAAGTATAATTCTCTCCATACTTCATTACCTACATCCTCTAGCTCCAAGTTTCTTCTCGATAAAAGAAAGCCATGTGCCATCCAGAGAGAGATTACCTTCTTTTTTTTCCATTTTGGTGTCCTTTGGGAATACTGCACAATATGCAAAGCATTGTCTCAAATCAAGTGGAAGATGATGATAACTAAGCCTTAAGACAGGCAAAATAGACCTTTCCTCTTGAGGTAAATTCCAAATATCGTTGTCTCTCACATGTTCCCATTCTCTTTCTTCTCTCTTGAAGCGCAAAATACCTCCAAGAGTCTTGGCTGCTAGAGGCACACCACCACTTTTTTTCACAATCTCCTTTCCGATAGCTACAAGGTTGGGATTTATTTCTTCTTGGTGTCCAAATGCACGTTGCATGAACAACAACCAACAATCTGCTTGAGACAAATTTGACAACTGGAATGGTTGCAAAGTTCCCATAATTGATCCAACCTTTTCAAGGCGAGTAGTGGTTAAAACAGAAGCACCACTTGCTCCAACCTTCAAGACTTGTCTTAAATTAGCCCACTTATCTTGATCTTCATTCCAAACATCATCTATGACAAGCAAGTATCTTTTTCCATTCAGTAACTCTTGAAGCTTCATTTGAAGTGGAGCCAAGCCCATGTCACCAAGTGACATTCTTTCAATAAATTCTACAATTTCCTTTATCAACCTCTTCTCATTAAAATCTTCCGAGACACAAATCCATATTTTGGGATGGAAATGCTCAGTTACTCTCTTATCATTGAAGACCATTTGTGCAAGAGTCGTCTTTCCTAGTCCTCCCATACCAACTATTGGGAGGACTGAAAGTTGTTGGGCATCACTAACATTGTTTATCAGGATTTTCACTATCTCATCTTCCTCTTTATCTCTTCCATAAACTTGTGGTTCAGTTAAAACAGAACCTGGTCAAAGGTAATTACAAGATTTTAATTTTTTATGTTATATGTTTAAAGTAATTTACAAAATATGCACATGAGGAAAAGGGGAGAATGCTGGAGATGAGCCAAGTCCGTAAAGGAATTATAAGGATAACAAAGAGTAATAAGCTTTTTTTTCCCTTTCTACCATAATGTGTGAATATATGATTAATGTTTATTAAATTTAGATAAAATGGTCTGATATACTCCTCAATTTTTTCATATAGAGTTGATATGCCCGTCGTTATAAAGTAAATCACATACATCCCTATCGTTATAAAAGGAGTTAATATCTCAAAAGGTCTCTCAACTTTAGGAATTTATCTAGTATACTCATTGAACTTTATTTTGTATAAAAAAAATCACTTAACTTAGTTATTTGTATCAATAAAATCACTCAATCATAGTATCATTAAAAAAAATTACACCATAAATATTCTTTTTTGAAATTACGTTCATGATTAAACTACTAAATAAATGACTCAAAATTACTATTTCATTATAAAATAATATAAAATTAAAAATAAAAGATAAATTTAACAAACTTGAACCTAAAATTCTTCAAGCTGGCGTCATTCACACAAACAAGAAATTGATTAAACCATCGCAGCAAAGTGTTGTTATACCGTCAAATGAAGCAGTAGTAATTTATCACATGAAATTGATAAATTATTGAAATTGATTAAACTATCAGATCAAGTGGTAGGCATCATTTCTATGAAGCAGTATTAATTTATCAAATGAAACTGATGAAATTATCTATTAATATTTTATTTTGTAATAAAGTAGTAATTTAAGCTATTTATTTATTATTTTAATTGTGATCAGATATTAAAAATTATTTTATTTTATTTTTTAATGATAAATTTGATTGAGTTATTTTATTGACATACATGTTTAAGGTGAGTGATTTAATTGATATAAAGACCTAAGTTGAATGATTTTATTGATACAAAATAAAGTTCAATGACTTTACTAGATAAATTCCTAAAGTTGGATGACCTTTTAAGATATTAACTCGTTATAAAAGTGACTCACACATACCTTTTTATCTAACATTAATGAAAAAAATAATTTAAATTTATTTTTGTGATTTTTAATTTTAAGAAAATTCATGTAGGGTATATATGATCCTTTTCGCACAATTTTTTTTTTTTTTTGACTTCTTTGATTATCATTATTTGAGTTTCTTATTCTCTCTTTTTTTTTCTTTCATTCTTTAAGAAGTAAAAATATTAGAAATAAAAAAACGTGTGAATGGAAAAAAATAAAAATAGCAAAATATTGTTAAAAAATTGGGGAATATACGATAAATTTTACAAAAAAAATTCTGAATTCAATTTCAAGTTGTATATCAGAATTCTCAAGAATTTGAAAAACAACAAGTTCAATTGTATTTATAGACAAATACAATTCCTATTTTCAAGTATTATTCCACTTTGAAAACAAAAGTTTTTTTTTTTTTTTTTCAAATTTCACAATTAAACATGATCAACGCCTCAAGTAGTTTTTATTGTGAAATTTGAAAAAGTTATTTCAGCCATATTTCATTGTGAAATTTGAAAAAATTAGTTTTTATTTTCAAAGTGCAAAATGATATTTGAAAATTAGAGTTATTTTTCTACCAAGAATACAACTAGGAGTTGTTTTGGAGTTTTTGTGATTATTTGGAGTGAAAAGTGAAAACACATTTTGTTATTTTTCAAATTCTTGAAAATTATGCAACTCCAAAACTTTGTGACCAGACATATTTTTCAAAGTTCAACTCCCCCAAAAGTAAAACTATTTCATGAACAAACTCTCCTTAATAACCTCAAGAGATGGGGAGGGTGGGGAGGTTAATCTCTATTGAATATATATTTAAGGGAAAAAACTTATCCAACTCTTGGTATATTTTCTGCTTGTTCAATGTTGCAGGCATATATTCATTTTAAAAACTTAATTCTTTGTTCTGATAATCTCTATAGGTATCATAGGATGTGGAGTAGGTAAATATCACATCAAGTAACTAAATAACTTATCTTTTACATTTAATTGAATTATATATTAGGTGCTTTGATTTTTTCCAAAGCAATATATTACAACTTAATTTTCTCTTCTTTCAATGTCCTCTATAAAAATATGAGATTCCTAATATTAATGGATCTTACGCGACACAAATATATATTAGGTGAGTGTCAGTACGGACACCAAATACCAAAAAAAAACTCTAACATCTGTGTTTTGTGCATGATTATGTTAGAACATAATTCAAGTATCTTTTTTAGCCCAATTTACAACAAATATATCTTTATTTATCTACTTTTACTGCAACATCATTTATACATAAAGAAAGTCACATAGTTTATGATCAAGTAAACTTAATATTGTTGGTTGAACCAATAGTTATTGCTATAAAAATAATTGAATTTAGTATGAAGCTATGATGATTAGATTATCAAATAATTGACAATATTCACATCAACTTTTATGTTTTCCTCCCTTTTTATTAACAGTTTAAATTTAAATTGTAGCTTGAGATTTACTCTTTAACAATTTTTCTAAATAGGCAATCTCAAGATCATAACTTAATTTGTGTTTCTCTCTTTTATTACATAATTTATTAGAATATTTATCAAATAATATATTAATTATTCAAAAATATATTTAATCTTCTCTCATAACCACGCAAACAAGTACACTAAGTAGGATTTCCTAAGCTTTTCTCATTTATAAAATTACTTAGTAATCATTGAGTAGCCCTGTATTGAATTCACAATTTTTGTTTGTCATTTTCAAATGACATACTCTCTTTATTTCAAATTAATTGAATTGTTGAGACATTTTTCATTTTTCAAATTAACTTAATTGTTCAGTTTTTCAAGACTACTTTTAGAGTGTTCTTCCAATTTTACCCTTCATTAGTTTGTATTGGAACTAGTGATTAATTAATAATTAGTGAATTTAATCATAAATTTAACAATAATTAATAAGGGTAAAAATAGAAAGTTATGTCTAATTTAGTTAATTTAATCATAAATTTAACAATAATTAATAAGGGTAAAAATAGAAAGTTATGTCTAATTTAATTAATTTAATCATAAATTTAACAATAATTAATAAGGGTAAAAATAGAAAGTTATGTCTAATTTATGTCTTAATCTTCTTTTCTTAAAGAGTGTGAAACACCTCAACAATTCAACTAATTTGAAATGCAGGGAGTAATACATAAATATGTCATTTAACTTTGCTTCAATTTATATTTGCCCTCCAACTTTGAGTTTTGCACAAGTAGACACTTAATCTTTTATAAAGTTGAACAAATAGACACACACGTTCTGCGTGACATCCTACATGGCAATTTGGGTTTTATGTGGTGTCATATGTGTATTATGTCATGTAAGACTCATGTGTCTATTTATTCAATTCTATACAAGTTCAAGTATCATATATTACTATAAGTGGGAACAAAAAAAAAGTTAAAAGTTGAATTATGATTTTACCCCTATTATAAATTTAAATATTATAAAGCATTTAATTATTTAATTTAAATATTAAATTGTATCATTTTAATTAATATGTTAATGACTTTTGCACTTCCTTAGATTAATTCCTAATTAAAATATCTAATTTAATACATATTTATCATCTATAATTTATATGTATATAATAATAAATTAATAATAATAATAATAATAATAATAATAATCCAAAAATCTCTTCATAAAATGTATAATTAATTAAATATTAAATTATTAAACAATAAACTGACCATAGTATACTAATTAATACTAATGATATTATCATCATATGAAAAGACAATGCTGTCATTGTAATTACTACCGGTTTAAAACTAAAAGAAGAGGAAGGATTGATATTAATTCATTCATATGATAATATCATTCATTTTTGGTCTTTTCAAATTCCCTGGATTAATGGTGGAAAAATATTATCTTTATAGAATTTATATAAAAAGGCCTAAGTTCTTGACATTACTATTAATGTTATATACATAGATGATTCTCACTTGATTTAGCCTTTTTCATATTTTTTTGTAAGCTGTGCACTATAATTTTTTCCCATGAGGCAATCATTGCTCTTTTGATTTGGTTTACTTAGTTAGCCAGCAACATTTGCATCATATAGGTAAGCATCATACTTCATTTATCTAGAGATCGTATGAAAAATATTTATGTCACTACTTTTACTTATTGATTTGGATGAACATATTTCTAAACTTTTTATTGCTGTTTCTTTTTCTTACTCGACGAAAATGTTAAAATTCAGTGGTGACCTTTTGAATTACTATAAGTTGCATCTACTAGCTTTAAATTATAATTTATTATACAGTCTACCTACTAACTATATTTAGATGCTCAAATTTACAGGTTTGGACAATCATTTTCCATATATGGAATAATCAAGTCATTCAAATAGGTTCATTGTCAATCAATTTCAACTTGCACTTTAAATGACTATGCTAAATTCTACAAATATTTATAACACCTTAAATCTCTTCAATCACCCCACATTTGTTGTATTATTTCAACCATATCAAATTATATATATGCTCTTAAATTTGGCAATTTAAGGTTGAGTGAGTTCATGTAATGACCCGAAAGGTCATTTTGGTAAGTTTTCGTGGAAATGACTATTTTGCCCTTTCGGTAGTTGCCCCGAGTCCCATGTTTTGTGGTTGTAAAGTTGGTTTGAGGAAAAGTTGGTAAAAAGTTGAGTTTTTGAGAAGTTGAATTTTTATGAGTTAAAGTTGGTTAAAAAGTGCTTTTTCGAGTCAGTTGGAGTTTCGGGACTCGGATCGGATTTTCGTCAATTCCGACAGTTTTAGAATGTCGAAACGGATCTGTGTGAAGTTACGGAGTTGAAACGAAGAATTGAGGTTGTTCATGATGTGGTACTAGTGATATATGGAAGCGGAGAAATTTGAGTTGTCAACTGTTTCACCTAATCGGGTCAGAAGGTTGATGTTGCATTCTCGATTGAGAAAT